ACTCCCCTGACCCCCCCCAGCCCTGACCCTCCGCTCCGAGCCCAGCCCCTCTGAGCCGGACACCCCCCGACCCCTCACTCTGAGCCAGACACCCCCCTGACCTCCCTCAGCCCTGACCCCCCAGCTCCGAGACCAGCCCCTCTGAGCCAGACACCCCCCTGACTCCCCCCAGCTCTGAGCCTAGCCCCTCTGAGCTGGGCATCCCCTGACCCTCCCCCCTGCACCCCTGACTCCCAGCTCTGAGCCCAGCCCCTCTGAGCCAGACAACCCCCTGATCCCCCCCCACAGCCCTGACCCCCAGCTCTGAGCCCAGCCCCTGTGAACCGGGCACCCCCCGACCCAGAGCCCAGCTCCCCACCCAGCCCTGGGCAACAACAGCGCCACCCCCAGGCAGCGACAGCCCATTGGCACCAACCATTACCATCCCCCAGCGACAGCCCATTATGTAATTGCAAATGTATACATACCATTAAAGCTTTTAATGTTTTTAAATAATGTATTCTGTATATTTTCAAATTATTAAAAATTAATTTTTGAATGTATTTCACTGGTTAGTATCATGTATTTGGAAATATAAAAAATATAGTATTGCAACTTTTTTTTATGGAAGGGGCCCCTGAAATTGCTTTGCCCCAGGCCCCCTGAATCCTCTGGGCGGCCCTGGGAGCAACGGGCAGAGCAGGGGCCAGACAGCTGGAAGTGAGTCAGTCTCGGCTGGCTTGGGGTGCCGGGGGAGGGCCAGAACCCTGGCTCTGGGCTCCCCTCCCCCCAAGATGGACTTTACTGACTGTTTTCTGTGCTAATAAGTTCTGTTCCACGCTGTGTCCCTGTCGACTAATAAACCCTTCTGTTCTACACGCTAGATGAGAATCACTGCTGACTGTTGAGTTGGGGTGAAGGGCCCTCTGGCTTCCCCAGGAGCCCTGCCCGGGCGGACTCACTGTGGGAAGCACACGGTGTGGAAGGGGATGCTGAATGCTCCGAGGTCAGATCCAGGAAGGTTGAAGCTGTGTAAGCTTCTTGCCCTGGTGACAGTATGCTCAGAGAGAGGCAGGCATGCTACACCAGCATCCTGGCTGGCTTCATATGGAGTCCTAGCTAAGGTCGCCCAGAAGGCTGGTGGCAGAGCCAGGAATAAGAACCCAGGTGTCCTGAGTCCAGTGCAGTGCTATATCCACCAGTCCACGCTGCTATTAAAGATCGCGTGAGGCAGGGGTGCTGGAACTATTTTTAATGGGTGCTGAGAGCCATTGAACCAAACTGTAAACCCTGTGTATGATGGAAATAAATTCAAGGCAGGGAGTGCTGGAGCACCCCCTCACTACTAGTTCCAGTGCCTATGGCATGAGGTGCTGCGGTGCTCTGGCCATGGGGGTGCAGAGAAGCTATGTTAGCTAATTTAGGGTTTTGCACTGTTGTAGCGAGACGGGTGGGCATGCAAGTCACTTTTAACATGTCTGTACTTGAGCTGTGCACTGAAGCAGCTAGATGAGTATGAGTGAATCTGAATTCATTCCAGACATCGCTGTGGGCACGAACAGGGCTCCACCATCCCTGGCTATCATGGGTTGCTCTTTGAGTGTCATAGAAATGTAGGGCTGGTAGGGACCATGCAAAGTCTAGACCTCTGTGGAGAGGCCTCTATGTCCCATAATGCCCCCCCCCCATACATATTGTCTGATAGATTCTTTTGATCAGCCCCTTTTGAGACAGCCCTGCTATGGCTGTCAGTCTGATTTCGTTCATAACCCAGGTCCCCAATATCTCAGTCTTCTTTTCCGGATATCGTTAGCAGTTAGGGGTTGTTGAATTTGCTGATGAATCTCGGCATTTGTTATAAATTTATTCCATTCAATTCCCACTCTTTTTCTAAGGTCTTTGATTCTGAAGGCATTTAGATGGCTGCCTGCCCATGGATTCGCTAAATCAATCAATCAAAAAAACAAAAACAAAACAACCCAGTAAAGACAGCTCCCTGCCATTTGGGATGCACCGCACGTGACATTTTTTGGCAAAAAATGCAGATTTGGGTCAACTGAAGCATTTTGCAAATCTGTGTTAATTTTGCAAAAAATTGTTTCGATCCAATGAATAAATTAATCCCCTACCCAAACCCAAAACATTGAGTATTGACCTGTTAGAAAGGAACTGTTTCTATTTTTCTGATTTAAACGACTCTTCGTTCGATCAAAATTCCTTTTAATTTTATTCCTTTTTAAACATAAATACAGAGGTCTGTATTTTGTTCGTCAAACAGTTTGTGAGGATCAACCCAGAAACCCCTTTTTTTAAATCCAAAATTGTAAAATGAATTGAATTTAATTTTTTGTTTTATTTCCAAAATTTTCATTTTTTGCATGTGTCTGCATTTCCCATTCTCACTTTTTCTTTCTTTGTTTTTCTTTAATTTTCCAGTGGAAAAAAAGTTAGAGAAAGTGTTTTTTCTGCCTCCAAATTGCTCTCATTTGATTCACACTCCTCTTCCAGAGGGAAAAAAAAAGATGGGAAAGTTAAATAGCAAGAGAACGTAGAAAAAAGACACATGCACGCATGCACCAACAACCCTCGATCCCCCTCTAAAACGGAAGCCTTGAATTGGAGAGGAAAACGTTTTGAATTTCAGATTTTTTTTCATCCTTAAAAAAAAGAAAAAAGCAAGAAAGATTTTTCATGAAAAAAATGTCATTCTCGGAATGGAATGAAAAATTAAAATTTGGACCAGCCAGACTCTGAAACCCCTGAAGCCAGACCCCCTGGCTGGTTATTTGCCACTTTCTTTTAGGGTCAACCAGTGAGTGCTGGGCCCTTCCTCTTTAACGCTCAACGTTCTTTAAAGAAAGTTTAAAGGGGCTGGTTCCCCTCTCGGTCATCCTGCTGTAAAGGAGTCCCAGCCGTATAGGCCGGTGGTGGAGAGAGGAGACACACTATGGCCACTCACCCCCTGTAGCACATTTTTCTTCTTGTGATAGCAATCTGAGAACGTATCCCACAGGACTGGCCCCTTTTCTCCACCCCGCTGCCCTGCTCCCTGCATGTAGCAGAGTCGGGCCTCGAGTGCTTGCTGCCTCTATCTCCCGTTTGCCCTGCAACTGCCCCATCCCACCCTGGGCAATCGCAACAGAACTGCTTCTGAGGCCACATCTGCTCTACAGCCACGGCAGCAACACATCTACGGCACTGCAGCTGGGATGCTGTAGCACTGTAGTGTAGACGCTGCCTACGCTGACAAAAGGGGATTTTCCAGTGATGCAGTAAATCCACTTCTCTGAGAGGCAGTAGTGAAGTGGAGGGAAGAATCTATCCACCTAGCTGCGTCTCCACGGGGGGGAGGGGTCGACCTACGTATGGCCCTCGGGGCATGAAATCTGTCATGGAGGGGTCAAAGAGGGTGAGGGTGCCAGCGGCTGCACAAGCAAGAATTCGCCCTGTGAACCCTTTATTCCTGGTGATGACGTGTGAGAAGGAAAGAACCCAGTGCTTCTCTTCCATCCCAGGGCTGGCAGTGAGAATAAAGATCTTATTGCTGGGAAACGGAGCCCCTGTGATTGCAGGGCACTATAGGGTGACAAAACAGCCACGTTTGAAGAGTCACTTTTAGGATACGTCAGTACTAAAGCTGGAAGTGTGCTTTCCAGCATGGGTTTTCAGAGGTAGTGAGGCCATCGGGCCATCCTGGAGGGGTCTTGGTCTAGATGCCCTTGGGCCGTCCTGTGTGGCGGGGATGTCTCCAGCCCAGAGGCCCTCGGGCCATCCCGGGGGCCTTCTCCCAAGCGTGCAATGTGAAATGGAAGTGCCAGGTTTTCCTCTCCTCTCCCTGAGGAGGGGACGGGGCAGCCTGGCGCAGGCTCTCAGTGGCAACCACTCACGGCGTGCTCCCCGCGTGCTCCCTGTGGTGCTTGGTGAGGGCTGAGTGGACACTGAAGCCTTTCCCGCACTGCTTGCACCTGTAGGGCTTCTCCCCGGTGTGGGTGCGCCGGTGCCGTGCCAGGTCGGAGCTCTCGACGAAGCCCTTCCCGCAGTGGGGGCAGGTGTAGGGCCGCTCGCCGGTGTGGGTCCGGCGATGCTTGGTGAGGTGGGCGCTCTGAGCGAAGCGCTCGCCACACTCGGGGCAGGCATAGGGCCGCTCGCCGGTGTGGACGCGCCGGTGCCGCTCCAGGTGGGAGCTCCAGGTGAAGACCTTCCCGCAGTGCCCACAGGGGTGGGATTTCCGCTTGGGCTGGGGTCCCAGGGCCTCTGAACCCTGAAACAGCTCCGAGCTCTCCCTGAAGCAGCTGCACGTCCCCTCCTGGTGGGCTCTCCGGGGCTTGGAGCCCAGCCTGCAGTCCTGGCACTGGGGACCCTGCTGCTGTTGTGGTCGCCCCAAGCTCTCCCCAGCGCCCTGGCTGCAGCGGCTGTGTTTCCCCTTCTGCTGAGCTTTCCTGGGCTTGGCCGGACTCTGCTTGCGAGCGGGTTGTTGGCGCTGCCTGATGCTCCCAGCTGTGTGGGTCCGTTTGTGTCGCGTGAGGTCAGAGCTGTCCCCGAAGCCCTTCCCGCAGTGGGGGCAGCGGTAGGGGCGCTCCCCGGTGTGGGTCCGGCGGTGCTTGGTGAGGTGGGCACTCTGGGCGAAGGCCTCCCCGCACTCCCTGCACCGGTAGGGCCGCTCGCCGGTATGGATGCGCCGGTGACGCTCCAGGTGGGAGCTCCAGGCGAAGCCTTTGCCGCACTGGGCGCAGCGGTAGGGTTTGTCCTCCAGGTGGCCGCGTCGGTGGACTGCCAGGGCTGGCGGGTCACCGAAGCGCTTGCCACAGTCGCCACACTTGTAGGGGCGCTCGCCGCCATGGGCCAGCTGGTGCTGCCGGAGGTGGGAGCTCTGGGTGAAGCGCTCACCGCACTCAGGGCAGGCATAGGGGCGCTCGCCTGTGTGGACGCGCCGATGCCGCTCCAGGTGCGAGCTCCAGATGAAGCTCTTGCCACAGTCCTGGCACCGGTAGGGTTTCTGGCCCTGGGGTGTTTGCTGGTGAGCTGTGATATCCTGCAGTTTCTTGGGGCTGGGCCCCTGAGGGGTGGGTTTGCCCTGTCTCCTCCCTGCCCCTCCCAGCCTCACCCCAGCAGGCCCCTGGCAAACAGCTCCTGAAAATCCTTCCGGCAGCATCTCCCGTGGTTCCGCTGGCTCAGGGCCTTCCTTCGGGGGATTCTCCTCCTCGGTCTCACTCGCCGTCCCATCACCTGCCAGGACAGAGAGAGAATAACTCCCACACTCCGCTCCTGCATGGCTAGGTCTCAAAGCACTTTACAAACCCCTGTTCCCCAGATGAGGAAACTGAGGCACGGAGTGAGGGCGTGACTTGCTCAAGCTCACCCAGCAGGCCAGTGGCTAAGCCAGGAATGCACCCCAGGTCTCCTAGGTCCCTGTCCAGTGCTCTGTCCAGTCGGACACTGCCTGCCTGGAATCCACTCCCTGCTCTGGGCGGAAAGAAACTCGGAAAGGGGGGAAACAAACTAAAATAGCTCCCCGGGAGATTAGAAAATCACGGGCTGAATCCCCCAAGCCCTCGCCCAGAGGAGGGGACCAATTCTGCCCCCACACCCCATCGAAGCCCTCAGTGGGGAGGGTGCCACAGCCAGGTGTTGTCAGGCTGGGTGAGAAGCTGTGAGTGATGCTCACCAGGAGGCTATGACGCCCGCTGGGCACAGTCCAGACCTGGGACAGCAGTGGCAGAGCCGGGACGCTGATGGGGCCCGGGTGGGAACCCCAGCTGTTTATTGCCCAGTCGGCATAGCTGATCCCTCACCTGGGCCAGACGCTGCTGGGATCTCCCTCTCCTTGGAGCCTCTGTGACGCCGTTCCAGTCGGGAGATCACCTCCGCTTTCAGAAAGGGAAATTCTGTGGGGGGGGAGTCAGGCGGGGGGGGAGGAACAGAGCTCGTTAGGCAGCGACCCCCTCTCCTTGCTCGCTGCCAGCGGGGCTGTGATCACCACAATCCACAGCCCCTCCCTGGAAGGCTATGGGGCTGCATGGGGGTTCCCCAACTCACTCTGTGTGATAAGATGCACATGGAGAGAAGCCACGTCTACCCCAGGGGATTTATTTGTCCCAGCCACTAGAGAAGGACAGGTCCCCATACACAGTGAGCAGCACACAGCTAGGGTTTCCCTATTCCCCTACCGAATGGCAGCTCGGTTGCTCACTCCCCCAGGACTCTTTGACCAGCCTTGCCCTATCCCCAGGGCCGGGTCTGCATCTGCAGAGCCCCAAGCACCCGCTATGCTATGGTGTTGCCAGCCCTTGCGATCGTCTCACAAGTCTCGCAATATTCGGGATTTGACCTCAAGCCCCGGTTGCTGGAATTGTGAGATTGTGCCAGAATCTGAGGGTTCACTACAAAAAGAGATTGAAAGATGTAAATTTCTAGCCCAGGTGGTGAGGGGCATTGACAAGCTATCACTTTAAATTCTCAGGAGGTTTCCTGGTCCTGTTGGCAGGCTAGTGGGCGCTATAGTGAAGCATGTGACCTGGGTCTAGCAGCAGTCAGTCTGCAAAGACCCAGCATAGAGCAAGGTGGGGTGAATTGTGCCACATTGCCTGAGGGAGCAGCCTGTTTTTTCTCTCTCTGTTTTTGGTTCTTGTGCATTTCAGTTCTGGATTCTAAGCAACCAAGTTCTGTTGCTTCCAGCTAGAGTCTATTATGTTTCTATTTCGCTTCTTTGCATGTAAGCCAGGAACGCAACAGGGAGCTGCAGAGAACAGTTTGAAAATGTGACCCTGTGTGTGATGCTAATGGCTCAAAAACCAGAAGGTGAAGAAAAGAAGCCCAACATTTTTATGTTTTCAATCTCATGATTTCAAAGCCAATCTCATGATTCCGGGGGTCTGATTCAGGAGTTTGGCTGCGGTAAGAATAACACCCCAATGGTCATTAGAAAGGACAAGCCACATTTTTTAACCCCAGCCCCCTTCTGTGCTGGTGTGGGATCCCTGGGAGATGCTGTGGGCAGGCCAGTGGGGCAAAGGGGATGGGCAGTGCCCCCTGGAGGGGGTCCGGTGATCTCCAACACCAGTACAGGTTACAGTGACTCCAGCGTAGCACGATAGGGCACTAGCCCACCCCTAACCATGCCTTGAGATTGGGCCCTCCCTGGGGATGGGAAATACGTGTGAGTGACATGAGACTCATGATCACAGGACATAGTAGTAGAAGGGACCACCTGGCACATTGAGTCCCCAGCTATCTCTGCCAGCCCGGTCATATAATCCCATTCAAGCTGCAGCTTCAAACTAGCTGTTCCTGAACCTCCCTCCTCTGATGGGTAGAACCCTACCAATTTCCAGCCTCAGTTTACTCCTGACTAGTTTATCCCCATTTGTTCTTGTGCCGACATGGTCCGGTTGCATTAGCAGATCTTCCCTCTCCCCGGAGCTCACCCCCCGCACTCCAAATGAAAAGCAGCCCTCTCTCAGTCTGTGTCTGGCTGGGCTGAACAAGCTGAACTCATCCACGCTCCTCTTGTAAGCCGACTCCACTGCCCTGGGCATGCAGAAGTCCACTAGCAGGGGCCGGAGAGGGGATGGTCTCTCTCAGGCTGGCATCTGTGGACTATGGGGCTGATCCCACTGAAATCTAAAAGACCCAGACCCTGAGCAGCGCTTCAGAGACACCCCCACCCCCCATGTCCAAACACCCAAGGGGACAGGAATCCTCACCCAGCGACATCAGGGTGTCGTAGCTTTCTTGCATGACGTCCCTGTACAGGGCTTTTTGGTGAGGATCCAGCAGGACGCACGGCTCCATGGTGGAATACACACCCACCTCCTTGCCGGCCACCGGCCCCTGGAACAGCCAGAGACCCTCACTCAGAACCTGCTGTCCCAGCCACCCCCCGCCCCCGAGTTCTTCCATGGGCCCCACTGCCCCACCTTCTGGTGCTACCTAATGAATAGCACTCTGAAAGGCAGCATTCTGAAAGGCACCCAGGGGGTGGTCTTCTATCCCGGCTCTGCCCATGGTGCCCACAGCACAGCCATGTTGCCACTCATGCCTCGGTTTCCCCATCTGTAAAAGGGGGAGAATGACCCTGAGCTCCTTTGTAAAGCACTCGGAGATCTGGGGATGGAAAGCGTGACAGGAAAGCTCCTGCTATTAGCATTCTCACCCTCATCCTCCCCCGCCCAGCCCTAGCCTTTAACTCGGGTGTTTCCAGCTGGGCCTGGAGGCTCAGGCACAGCCATCCTAGTGAGGCACAGATGATCTGCTATTGCCTGTCCGGGATGAGGGGTTCCCAGACACCTTTCCCCACTGCGGAGTGTGAAGCCATTGGTGCCTTGGCTACTGCCATGGCAGGCCGCTGGGGTGGCGGCGGCTGGTACCCCTCTCCCTGGAATGTCAGCGCCGTGCTAGACAAGTCCGTCATTAACCCCTTCCCCCCGCCTGCTCACTGCTCCCCCAGCCTCCTGGATGGGCCACCTCAATCCCACGGCCCGGCCTGCGGGAGGGCAGGATCTGGAGCGTTATCCTGCAGTCGAGAAGGGTGAGCAGGGGGAGATTTCAGGAGGGGCTTTTGGCCCATTTCTCACCCCAGTTCCCCCAGAGCCTTTCCCTGCATACAGAAGAATTAGACCCACAGATGCTTGGAAAACCCTGGGGCACTTTATTCCTGGGCAGACCCGGCCCCTCCCACCAGGTCCAACCCCCCCCCAGACATTGGTATCCCCACTCCCAGGCACAGAGCCTCTTAGCCAAGCGCAGAACCAAAGGAGCCGCTCTGGGGGATCCCTCCTGCCCCAGGGCAGCGCATCCCCCCAGCAGCGCGGGGACCAGGCAGAGGCAGGAACTGGCTTTTCCTCTCGCTGCTCCTCCCTTTCTCCCCAGGAAAGTCAATCTGCCCCGGGGGGCTGCAGGGAATGGGGCTGGGCACGGCTGGGAGCCGGGACCTCCCTCCCCACTGATTGCTTCTGCTGCCCCTGCCAGTCTCTATCTCTGTCTCCCTCCTGCCCCCTCTCTCCTCCTCTGGGGCTGGGAGACTCGGTCCCTGGCCCGGCCCGGGGCGTTCGGTCTCCCGGAGCTGGCTCGGCTCCTGCAGGCGCTCAGGTGAGCAGAGCCGGCGGGGGGGTGGGGGGGGTCAGGGAGGGCAGCA